ATTTAAAAATACTAAATAAATCATCTCAATTATATTACCACAAAAGCTCAATGTATTCACTTGCTGTCTGAATTTGTGCAGTATGGCTAGTGTTCAATACTCATGTGGGGAGAATTTTCTCAGATACTGGCTTCTGAGAGCTATCATCCACAGTCAGGGGCTAAATAGTTATTCATCTTTGTCACATAACTTAAATTTAATCTGACAAAGATTTACTGACACCTATGCCATACTGGACCCTGAATCAGAGGCTAGGGACACAGAGGGGACCCATTCATGAGTCCTTTCCTTAAGTCTCTTTAGCTAGAGTGTATGATTTTGCACTTGAGCTCTGTAGAGTCCAAGGTTAATGAATACAGTGTGTAAGATGAACAGTGTAAAATTGTTTTGAATAGAGAAGACACCTTAGCAGGCAGAACCCAGTGGTTAAACTTAAAGTAATTTTGGTGTATGTTGCATAGAGTCACTATAATGCAATGTGGCTTAAACCTTGGACATTGATTACTATTTTGGTAGCTTAAATACAACCAATGTTTTCTTCCTTATGGTGGTATTATTTAGATTTGCATATTGAAAAATGGATTGTAAAGATACTTTCTCCGTGCGTATATATGTATGTATCTATATGTACATACATATTTTACTATTGGGGTTAGTAAGTCTCTTCGCTTTGTGGATCTTTTGGAACACTTCAGTCTTTTTCCTCTACCACAATATGCCATGGTATTATTAATAGCTGAGCTCGGCAAGTCATAATGATCATTTTAAAGTATTCACTAAATAAACACGGCAAATCTATGGTTTTCTTCTCTCATTCATTGGGGCTTGAAGAACATGGTAAGAGAAACACAAACACTTTCAACTACATGCTATGTCTATTCCAGTCATTTATGGGATGGTCACCTATATTGCTATTTTGCATGGGCAAATTTCACTTTTGATTTCTTTTTGAAATTATCATCTAGTTGACTTTCTTGAGTATCTTGGACTTGACATCACTGTCTCTGCTTACTTTAAATCTTAAATACATTCTGTATCCTGGCAGGACCCGAAGAAGATGGAATTTTGAACATGAGTGCTTTAATTTTCTCTGGCTCTCCCAGGAAGGCTGTGAGTCAGAGAATAGCAGATTAAAGAATGAAAGAGAGAAAAGCACACATTTTTCACATGCTATTATTGTACATGAGAAGGTGTGGCTGATCTCTATCTGCAGTAGAAATTTGGGAGTACTTGAATAGAAAATAGAAGAGGGCCAGGTAACTAATTTCTCTGTCATCGTTTTGTATGTAGTTTGTTTTCACCTTTTAATGAAATATCCCCAGAAAAATAAAACAGGAACAAATTAAGACATATGAAATGTAGAAACACATTGTCAAGCTAAACAAAAATTCTTAAATATCATTTATAATTTGGAAATCATTAGTATTACCCCTCTAACTGCTTTTAGGTTTGATAGCTGAAACATATATTAGATAGAGGGTGAAGCTGTGTGTGTTTCCTCTTTAAAAAAATAGATTAACCTTGTTAAACACAGCAAAAGGGGTTGGATGCTTTAGGGAGAATGTGGACATGATTGCACTCACTGTGTTTGAAGGTCTGAATGCTGGGCGCCACTCATCTGAGAACCAATTCATCTTCAGGTTGTTATGAGATGAATGAATTTAACAGATTAGTAGATCAAGGCAAACTTTGTGAGACAAGTATACCAAGTATTTGCATTATAACCAAACAAAAATTTAAACTTATGTGGACATATATATGTTATTTACACAAATATTAGTTGCTGCTTAGTAAAAATGGTGAGTAGATGAATATAGTTATTATAAATTTTACACAACAAATGTAGGAAAATGACTCTAAGACCCTCATGAAGACTACTAAATCTACAGCAGACCAGACCTCTTCTTTTTGAAGCAGGGACCTGTTGTTCAGGTCTGAGTAGCTGATGGATAACAGATGGTTCTCCTAAAGATACTGGGAATCAGGGCTGACTGAAGTCTCAAGTCAAACTGGAATAGGAGAAAGCAGCTCATCTTGGGAGACAGAGACAGGAGAATTGTGGTTTGAGGACATCACAGACAAAAAAGTTGAGTGAGACCCTTCCTGTCTCAAAGAATAAACCGGGCTTGGTGGAACACGTCTGCGATGCCAGCTATACAGGAGGTGGAGGCAGGAGGATCATGCTTGGAGGACTTCCCCAGGCAAAAGTGTGAGACACTATCTTAAAAAAAAAAAAAAAGAAAGCAAAAGCATTGGAAGTATTGCTCAATGGTAGAGCACTTGGCATGTTTGCTCAATGGTAGCAAGCATAAGGTCTTCCCACACTGGATGTTGCCACAATTTCCTGAAGAGCAAATATCAAGTAGAATAAGCCTCAAGCTGACTTAATTTTCATGGGGTATACACCCAGTGGTGGTGTTGCTTGGTCATGTAGTAGTTGTATTTCTAATTTTTTGAGACATTGAAGAGATATGTGCACTTGCTTGTTTACTGAAGAAGCTAGTCATAGACACCCAGATACAGCATCAACCTAAGTATCAGTGGATGGATGGATAAAGAAGATGTGGTGTATGTGTAGACTGTGTGATGCTATTCATCCATGACAAGATAAAATTCTGTCATTTGTGACCACATGGATGAACCTGGATGATACGTTAAGTGAAAGAAACCGGGTACAGAGGATCTCATTTGCATAGAATCTAAAAAGTTGCTCTCATAGAAATAGAGCAGTGGTTACCAGAGGCTAAAGGGGGTGGAAGGGAGAAACGGGATGGGGAGAAGTTGGTCAACGCATTAAAATTTACAGCTAGGAGGAATAAGTCCTGGTGTGCTATTGCACAGTACAATGACTATAGTAATAATAATGTATAGTTCAAAAAGAAGCTAGAAGATAAGATTTTTCCTTTAGTTTTAAAATTGTAATTATGAAAGAGAGGATTTTTAATGTTTAACAAGAAATGATTTGTTGGATGTGATGGATAGGCAAATTGCCATTATTTGCTCATTAGATAATGCATGCACATTTTGAAACATTTCATTGTACTCCTGTAAATATGTACAATTATTGCATGTCAATTAAAAATGAAGTAAAAAAGATAAAATATATATAACCTGCTAAAAAAGGAGCTGTTGGGAGGGAGAAAGTCAGGCAGGGCACCTGGGAGACTGCTGCCCATAGCCAAATGCTCATTCTTTCTTTTTCCCCCCATTTTTTATACTCTTTTGTACTCTTTGTACAGGGGGGATTCATTGTGACAGTTCTGAATAGGCTTACATTGTACATTAGTTAGATTGCTTCCACCGTCTCCCCCTCTATCTCCCTCTCTACCCCATTTAAAGCAATTGCAAGAGGTTACATTGTTCTATTTTGTGTATGTATGTGAAGTCCATCAACCATATTCCCTCACCTTAATCTCCTTCCAAATGCTCACTCATCGTCTACTTCCCAGGATTACTGAGCCAGGAAGGAGCTCCAGGTTGTAAGGTAAGGGGAGGCTCTCTATCCAAGCATTTCTGCTCTCATTGTGTAAATTAGAAGTGTGTTTGCTGAACCAGAAAAAACATTCGAAGGACTAGAGAAGGAGAAATAGCTATTACTCACATGTAAGTGTGATTTAATCTCTTTTTTAGAATTTCTGGGCTGCTCCCCAGCAGAGGTAGACTAGAGACACTAACAGAGGACATAATGGAGAATGTATTGTGAGGCCTTGGGCAACCTGGTGGCAAATGAGAGCCTTGGCCTCCAGATGGTCAGGAGGAACCACAAAGATGTGAGAGGGAGATAAAGAAAGATGAGGGTGGGAAGATAGGAGGATGGGTATAGGCACAAGTTATGGTCCTTGACTGTGCATTTGCAAAGTCAAAGTCTGCACAAAGCATTTCTGATGGGCCTGGTCTACAGACAGGTGCACTGCTTGGTAGGGATTATGCTGGAGTTGGCAAAGGGACCCATCCAATGAAACTCACAAAATACAGGTTAACATTTCAATGTCAGTGTCTTCATTTCTACGTCTCTGACCAATATGGCACTGAGGCCTTCCTTCACGTAGTCTGGAGATGATGTGCAAAATGTTGCTGATTTACACCTGACAGGACTCTTGCTTTGTAGTGTTCTGCGGTCTGTGGCTTGTCAACAGCTTAGAATTCTTGGGGCTTTTTGTTTTTGATGGTGGTACTAGAGTTTACATTCAGGGACTCATGCTTGGTAGGCATGTTCTCTACCACTTGAGCACACATCCCAGGCCCCCAAAGCTTAGAATTCTTATTTGGCCATCAGATGCCCATTTTATTCAGTCACTATGGTAACTGTAGGTTTTTTCCTCCAAAGAGATAATTATGGCCTTTTTTTTTTGGATTGGACTAATTTTTGGGTATCTTGGATTTTAAGGCAGAGTTAAAACTATATATTTACAAAAAACTACAGTCTCTTGAACTCTTTCCTATTTTATTCACAATAAAGCATTTATATATGGTGCCATATTTTTTAGTTGGCCTTTACAAGTCCCTGTAATGAGGGAAATGTATACAACACTTCACTTTTTAAAGCCATCTGGTATAAAATGAATTTTATGTGTCCCAACCAGTATTGTAACTTTCTGTTCCTTTTACTAGAGGATGCATATGATTTATAACTAAGAAAAATTAGGCACTAGGTTTTATGATCTGCATAAACTTTTTAATGTAATTTAAGACAAAAAATCAGTTCCAAAATGATACTTCAAAGATAACAGAAGATTCAGAATTTAGTGGATTACCAAAGTTTCAAAATGACCTCACTGTCAGGTTGTCTCATTAGAATACCATCCATGATATATTTAATTAACATCATGTTGTATTTCAGTGGTGTTAAGGGGGGGAGATCAGAAATAAATTCCATTGTCCATTAACAAGGGGCACCATTATGGCTTATCTTGAAAATCCAGTTCCAAATGTGGGCACACCTAAACCCATCTGTGGAATCCAACATAAAGAAAAGCACTGAAGTCCTTTGGTTCACCCCCTCAGTAAGCTCTGCGGCATTCATAGGACCCCCAGGCCATACTCCCATCTTCTTTTGTCCAAGGTGAAGGGTCATGAAGAGAAGAGGTGTCTGACCCCTCATCTGGGGAGAGAGGCATGACCTTGGGTGGTAGGTCATTTGATATGGTCATGAAAGGGGTGAAGGGGTATGGAGGTGGAGTGGGATACCCTGGTGTGGGGTGCAGATCCTCCAGGTTGTGCAGTGAGTAGGACTGAGCCCCAGAAAGGGAGGTCCCCCAGCCTGAGCTCTTGTGCTGTGTGGTGCTTCCTGGCTCCAGCTGGGAGAGGCAACCCATGCTGGATGGCAGGGTCTGCAGGGCATCTGCGGGGTCTGGCTGGCTGAGAACATCAGGCACCGTCTGCTCCCAGGAGTCCCTCTGAAGAGAATGCAAGGTCACTGCAGTTAGTCATTAGCTGATGCTCTGTTGATACCGGGTGGCCTATACCCTGGGGTCCTCCCATGGCTGATGCAGCCCACCTACCTCTGGTGTTTGACCCTGTAGGGAAGGTTTTGGTTCCTTTCTGCTCTGAGATGAGATTTCATATATATATATATATATATATATATATATAGTATATATTATCTATGTTTATAATATATGTATATTATATATAGTGATATCTATCTATCTATCTATCTATCATCTATCTATCTAGAGATTCCTTTCTCTGGGAAATAGTAAATGACTGAAATATGAGAAGAATAAGGTGAGTATCATCTGAGTGTTTTACTGTTTACAATAATGTACTATGTCTTGCATTCTTTTCTGAGCCTCACTGTTACTCTGGGTTCTAGAATACCCTTCACCCAAGTAAAGGAAGGACAGCAGCTGGCCCCCTTTTAAAAGTAGTAGACCTCTTATTATGTGAATTTTTGAGTGGACTGACTGGGAGATACCACTTTGCCCTTAGTGAGCAGAGAGTTAGGCTTGCTTGGGGCCATCTCCTCAGTCCTCTTGGAGGGGGCTGGGCTCATTCAGAGCCATGCCATCTGAAACCTCTCTGACTCTAAGCCCCTCTCTCCATTCTTCTGTAAAATGGAGGTTTCATAAATATTTCCTGAGTTATTGCAAGTATTAAGTGAACAAAGGCACATAAATCTTCAAGTCATAGAATAGGTACTCAGTAATGTTAATTCCTTCTCCCACATTTTGTCTACGATTTCACCTTTAAAGATTCATGTCTTTGTAGGAGAAGGCTTTATAGTTACTTATAAGAAGTGTATTACCATCTTTCAGACCACTCTGAACTCCTCTCTTTGGAAGGATTGTGAGAGAACAAGGTTTTATAGGACAGAAATATTGTGAGGAAGAGGAGGGCAGGGGGTAGGAGGGAGAGAAAAGCCACGTACACCTGCTTGAGAGGACTAACTAGCCAGGTCGAGATGAAATTTCAGTGTTCCTTCCCTATGAACACAGGAATAACGATGAATATCTGGCAAAATCAGTAGGATATTAACAAAATAGACGTGAATTCTATCTTGTAGACGTTCTAGTTCAAATCTTCAGACACTATTGCTGTCATGGTTAATAAAGAAGACTCCCTCAGGTGTCCTGGCAGAGCTGGCTGGACCTGCTACCTCTAGGCAGCAAGTCAGACTTAGCCTCAACCTGGTTGCCAAGCCTGGGTTCTGGGCCAGATCCCAAGGAACCCTGACTTTCCACTATTCCCTGGGTGTGGATTAAGCATACTCACAAACACAAAATGAGTGGGATCACCAGGAAAGGGTGGTGGCAGGAGTGGTGGCAGGGGAGAGGCACTGAACAGGGAGCCTGGGGTGGGCGTCAGTGCTGGAGGGCGGTGGTCCCCATAGGGCTCTGCCAAGCAGGACTCCAGCAGTGCACCGTGGCTCTGCCCTGCTGTGGACTCGCAGGGAAAGGGCTTTGTCACGCTGGAGGTGTAGATGTCATTTGAGAATGATTTACTGTTGTGGAAGTCTGAGTCAGATAAGAAAGATCTTCTGACACCATAGTAGCCTGACATGACGGGTGAACCTGTTGTCAAATGAGAAACAAACTTCAGACTTTCCTCCCAGAAAGGTCGGGGCATCCCTGTTGCCACTGAGTCTCTGTGGGGTGAAATGATGTCACCAACGTATGCCTGCCCTCCAACATGAACGAAGAGATAGACAAAGGTCAGGTCTTAAGAAGTGTGAGCTGTTCCTGCATTACTTCTTTTACCTACTACAGCCCAAATATCTGCTATGTTTTCAACTTCACTCTACCTTTAGATGTTGCAATAACTGTTCAACCATTCGCTCAGGCAGCATACACTTATGGTGTGTCTTCTAGATATAGATGGTATGTGCTAGAAAGAGGCTGGGCCTAAAGAGCTAAATCAAAAAATCCCTTGGAATTTACGTTTTATGGAATGAAGCTTAATACACAGGACTGTTTACAAGAGGCTGCTGCTGGGCTTGTCACATGAGGAACTACGTCTCTAGATAAGGTGATACATACACCGCCACCTCCAATCAAAGGCTGGTTGAACTCTGTCTTCTAATTCTTTTGTATAATGACCCTTAACACCATTATATGTGGGCGTTTAACATGGTATCTTGTACCTAGCAGGTGTCAGTAAATGGCTTGCTTTGGGTAATATGGTTGCAGAGAAGCCAGTTTTAAAAGACCACAAAAACTGTTTCCTGGCTTTGATGAGTCTGATGTTATTTGCTGCCCTCTTGTGGCCATGCTGAGTTCCTGGCTCAGCTCACTAGGATACTCCCCAAGTTTAGGAACCCAGTGCCTGGCACACAAAATTATCCTTGGAGGAAAGAAGGAAAAGCTGAAACTGACAAGAGTCTTATTTATGATAAGGCCAGAGAAGTGGTTCCAAAAGAGGAGACGTGTTTGTTAAACACTTTCTGATCCCTTATCTCAGCTGCAGCAGGAAATATATGATCATTTCGAATGTGTTTGGGGGCACACACTCAAGGTCTGTGGTTTAAATATTCCAGCTGGTGGAGGGCATGGTCTACAGCCTACACCTGAGGCCACAAAAGGACTGAACTTGGGAGAAGATGGACCTGCATGTTTCCCTTACCTTTCCCCAGCCACAGAGCTTTGTCCCTGTCTTCCCTCCCACCCCCACCTATTCTTCATTGGGCGTGGAAGACAAGCTTATAGAGACCCTTCCCCTTTGTTCTCCCGACTCAGTCATCCATGACTTCACACACTCAGAAGTTTGGCTACCCCCGCACTCAATGTGGTATTTTATAACAGGACCATTGCTCTTTCACCTGTCACAACTATCAGTCAATCTGTAAGCTCAGTGGTGGCAGAGCTTCTGCATCATCTGTAAACCCAGAAGTATAATATCATGCTCAACATCACATGAAAATTTATTCATTCAGAAGAAGCCATCAAAATTCCGTATGAAAACCTTAAGCATGATTCTATTCATGCCACTTTCAGCTTAAATTCTTTAACTCCAAACTTCCAATCTGCTCACACATTTGAAGACTGTGGTTAGAATTTTAACTGTGAGCATATTTCCTTGGAAAAAAATTTGTGCAAATGAAAATTGATATAAAAATAAGGTTCTGACCCATGTCATGAATTTATATCCAAAGGAGTGGTTAAGGTTGAGATCAGAATAAGGCATATGTAAACAAGACTTCTAGGCTGTCATATCTATATTTCCAATTTTCAAATAAAAACAACTATGAAGATAAAAATAGCTCCTCTGCACTCTTAAGAATATCATGTTCTCCTTAAAAAGAGGAAGAATAATTTTAGATGGAAAGAGAAGATCCAGAAACTTCCCCCTGTGGAAAAGAGCAGAAACAGCCAAATTCCAATGACAGCAGGTATGATTGGGAGATTCAACAGAGAGATCGTCATATATCTGAGTTCTTTATGACTCTTATCCCTCTCCCTTCTGCAGCTCTGAAGGGTTAAGGTACTCCTGAGTTTGAGATATGGAAGTGTGTGTGAGATTAAGAATGTCTCTTTCCTATTCCCACAGGACTGTTGAATGAGGCATAAGTATTGAAATGGGTATAGCATGCTGAACTAAGTGTGTTAGTTCACTTAGCGAACTAACGTAGTGATCCAGACAGCACCCAAGAAATAGTAACTCCCAGCCCTGCCCTAAGGTCTCTTTCACTTTCTGTCTGAAGCAGGTGCATCACCTATCAGATCATGGGGACAGATCTTTAAATATTTAAATTGTACCAAGGGCCTAACTGCTATTGCCTTTGCCCCCAAAGCTTCTCTGGGTAGGAGATCACAAGGCTGCCTTCAAGACAATGAATTTTAAGCTCAGGGGTGACTGAATGAGGTCTCCCTTCACTGATTTTTGTACTTAAAATAGCTATTTCAAAGAAGCAAAGATGTGAAAGTGATGTAAGGCTGTTACTGCAAGATGGAAGCATTATTTGGCAGGGGATGTGACTCAGTGGTAGAGCACTTGTCTAGCATGTGTGAGACTCTGGGTTTGATTCCCATCACCAGGGGGGAAAAACACAAGAAAGCTCAAACACTCCATTTAAGCTCAAAACAGAATCACTTGCTCACTGAATGGAAGTACTCACCTGGCATCTGGGTGAATGGAGGCTGGGGACACTGGTACTGTTCTGGAAGGCAAACAGAATGCAGGTGTTTTCTTTTTTAGTTGTGAGCTTGAATTTAATTAAGACATTTAGAGAGATAAATCAGACATTTATTTTCTGATACTCAGAAATACTACTTGAAGAGTTTGGTTACCTGGGGTCAACTGGGAGTAAAAATTCAAGTACTTTAGAATGAAGTTTTACAAGGGATAGAGAGAAACCAGACTTTGGTATCCTGATAAACATGACAGCAAGTGCTGGCTAGATGAAATAGAAGAATGTATCCTTTGTGTTTCACTGTTTGTGATACTATGCCACCAAATCTATGCTGAGTGGTCATACATGAATGTGTACATGCACGTGTACATATACAAATACACACTTGGCATTTGGCTTCAATGCTGGAGGCCCACTTTGTATGATATCAATGTAGAATAGAAGTGCCATCAAGTGTAGGGACCTTGACTGTGACTTGTCTTTATTGACTAAAATAGGTCATGGTTCCTAATAGAATCACGAATGAAGGTGCAGTCCTCAAAGAACCCACAGTCTAGTGAGCATGGGAAGTTGGGGAATGTGGTAGGTTGAATTATGTCCCACTAAAAGAGAGATTGACGTGTTAATCCCTGGTACCTGTGAATGTAACCTTATTGGAAATAGGATCTTTGAAGATGTGATGACTTAAATTAAGATGAAGTCATACTGCATTGGGATGGATCCTAAATTCCATATGGCTGATGACCCTATAAGAAGAGAAGAGCTCACGAAGACACAGACAGAGGGGAGAAGGCCATGTGGAGACAGAGGCAGAAACTTGAAAGACAGAAGACAGGCTCTCCACCAAGCCAAAGATGGTGGCAACAACCATCAGAAACCAGAAAGAGGTAAAGAAGGGCTCTTCTCTCGCAGCTTCAGAGGGACCATGCCCTGGCATGCCTATCCTCCAGAAGGATAGGACAAGAAATATTTGTTGCTTTCCAATGGTAGCAAGACAGAGGCAGAAACTTGAAAGACAGAAGAAGGCTTCCAGCCAAAGATGGTGGCAACAACCTCAAGAAACCAAGAAAGAGGTAAAGAAGGGCTCTTCTCTCGCAGCTTCAGAGGGACCATGCCCTGGCATGCCTATCCTCCAGAAGGATAGGACAAGAAATATTTGTTGCTTTCCAATGGTAGCAATTTGTTACTGCAGCCATAGAAAACAAACATAGAGGGGGTGGGTGTTCCTCAGGATGAAACAGACAGTCACTACAGTGCGAGAAGAGGTGTGGTAGTGGGGAGGATGGGTGACATGGGCAGCTAAACTGGAATTAGGGATGGGATGGGGACTACATTCTGATGCCTACACTGGCCTCTGAAATAAGAGTAGATAGTTGTGTAGTGTCTTAAAGCGCAAATTTTGACTCAAAAATGTCCTGGAGCAAAGTGGAGAATGTAGCTGCCATGGAAGTTAAGAATCCTTGGCTGGTTGTGGTGGCTCACACCTGTAATCCTGCCTACTTGGGAGGTGAAGATTGGGAAGATCGAGGTTCAAAGCCAGCCCAGGGAAAAAGTTAGCAAGACTCATCTCCATCAATAAGCCAGGAGTGGTGGCACACATCTGTCATCCCAGCTATGTGTGAGCCACAGGTGGGAGAATTATGCTCTGGCTTAGGCGAAACTAAGACTCTATCTAAAAAACAGCTAAAGCAAAAAGGGGCTTGGGGAATGGCTCAAGAGGGAGAGCACCTACCTAGTAAGTGCAAGGCCCTGAGTACCACCAAAAAAACCCCAAAACAAAACAAGATAAAGAACAAAACAAAACAAAACAAAACAAAACAGAAGAATCCTCAGTGTTCAGTTCTTTGGCCTGAGCTCTTAGCCTTGATGCCTATGGTCCTATAGACTCTCGAGAGTCGGAAGAGGTGTTACACAGTCTCACACAGCCATCCTCTCCATGCTTGAATTCCTTACAGATGACTAACAGCAGATGCATCTTCTACCCATGACAGAGCACTCAGCACCCCTGGGGGACATTTGTTTTTTGGGGAACGCTTGACTATTATAAAGTAGGCTGAAAAGAATCACTTTCCTTGTTCTAATCTCTTTAAATTCATGTAGAATAAGTTGGTCTAATCTCTTTTGTCCATAAAAATAATAACTAACAACAGGATAAAACAGTTATGACAACATGCTGTAATAAAGTTGTCAGCATTACTACTCTTGCTCTTTGCGGTCAATATGAAGTAAAACAAGGTTTACTTGAATACAAGCTGTGTGGCACTGTGACAGTTGATCTGATAACTGAGAAGAATGCTAAGTGACTCAGGTGCAAATAGTGTATTCAGAGTGGACTCACATCCTGAGCAGACAGAGTGGGACAGCACGAGATTTAGCTCGTAAACAATTTAAAATTTACTAACTGTTTGTTTCTGGAATGTCCCACTTAATATTTTCAGGCTTCATTTGCCCATGGGAAAAGAAACCATGGATAAGGGTGAGGTGATTACTGTAAGATGAT